TCCAGTCATCTGGATTGGAAAAGAACATGGACTAAGATCGGGACAATTCGAGGCTACGCCGAGTTTAGGGATAGACCAGAACCCCAGAAATTTGTCAATGCTGCAGCCATCCACCAGGGTCCTTCGAGTGGTTGAGAAGAGTGCAATATATGGGGTAAAAGCCACGGGGTCTCTACTTCTGTGGTTGACTTCTATACATTCATTCACACCCTTTCGCACGTCAAGTTCTGGTTTCACCGTTTCGAACCTCCCTCAGACGAACCGACAATGGGTCCCACTCTCAGCAACAGAGACAGTAATGAGCAGCAGCCGTCGAAGCCTAAACGAAAATATTCACCTCAAGCTTGTGTGGAATGCCAGCGTCGCAAGCGGAAATGCTCAGGAGGCAGATTTTGTGACAGCTGTCGATTCTCGGACCTGGAGTGTGTGTATTCACAGTCGCGATCGTCCAAACGACGGGCACTACTGCAACAGTCTCCCGTTCATGGCAATGAGTCGTCCTCCAACGAGTCTCATTCTGCTCCAAATCGCTCTGCGGGTGAGAACTTGACCCTGCCTGCATGGCCGGCGGTGTCACCGCTCTTCCACGACGACTCGACGCTCCACAAGTTCAGGCAGGACTTTGAAGCGCTGAGGAACGAGGTCGCTCGACTGAGATCCCAGCCTCAAAACACCTCAAATCTTGTACCTCTCTCACCAACAGCACCAGCTACAGATGCAGCATTATCATCAGCAGAATCACTGCTGGCAGACAAAGCCCCAATCGCTGTAGAGATCCCGACCACTATCCCACTTGTCTCAACTCCCTGTCCTCCTCAATCTACAGCTAGCGACCGTCACACGGACGCGAGACGGGCAGACATTCTGCAAAAATCCATCTCAACCGACATTGGAGCGGGAACTTCTTTCTTCCGCCAGCTTGATCTTCTCGACAATTCTGTGAACGGCAGCGATGTCCCGCACGAGGAAGCCCCGTCCTCGTCTGCAAACGAGACAGAAGGCCAGGATGCCGACCCCGAGGTTCTCTCGAGTGGTTTGTGGCGTGAGGCCGAACGTGTGGTGGAGGAAACTCGAGCCCAGGATTTTGACAACATCTGCCGCAGCGTCGACATTTTCTTCCGGCATCTCCGGCCTCATTGGCCCTTTATCAACGAGGCCAATTTTCGCACGCGACTTGCAGCCCTGTGGGCCAATGATAACGTCCACCTCAAGGGGACCATGATGGTGAATTTCGCGGCCCTGTTGAATTTCGTGGTCGCAGCCACCCAGCTCCTGTACGATTCAAGCGAGAGAACTACCGACGTACCGGGATGGACGTACTTCTTCCGTGGGGACAGATTGTTGACCTACGCGACGTGGCTGGAAAAGTCCAATACCACGACCCTGCAGATACTCCTAGTCAAGATCCTGTACTGCTTCTTTGCTGGGCACTTTGACGCAGCCTATGCGAGCGTCGGCGTCGCAGGGCAGCTGTGTGTGCAGCTGGGTCTACACAACGAGCCTTCTTGGGGCCCCCACTGCACGTTCTACGCTAGGGCCTACCGTCAGCGCTTGTTCTGGTCACTTGTCTGTCTCAGTCCCATCATTTCGCAGCATGCGGGATGCCCGGACCCTTTGCGTGACTTGGACATTCAAGTCGAATACCCTCTGTGCGTGGACGACAGGATGCTCTATCCGGACTGTCTCCCGTTGCAGGAACTACCCCGAGCGTCTCCCGTGCCATATCTGCTTGAAGTCATCAAGTGGGCGAGGCTCTCTTCCGAGGCGTGGGATACCGTACTCGGTCCGGGCGCCAAAACCCCCTTCGACGCACAGGCTATCACGTCGATCGACAACAAGGTCAAGGCTCTGTCGGCAGAGGCTCCACAATTCCTACAGTGGACCTGGATTACCACCTCTCAAGACAAGGATCACATCCCTTCCTTCCGCTGGCACCAAGCCCTAATCATGTATCTACGTGAACGCTCTCTACGGATCCTCCTGCGACGAAACGACATGCTCAATGGGCGTTTCGACGCGCACACGGCACAGACATGTATCGAAATCGCGGTCGACGTGGTGAGTGCGCTGGAACTGTCGCTCAACTCGTCCTTCTCCAAGAGAACGGCGCCGTATACCTCGGTGCTCCATCTCACAGGCGCCATTGTCCCGATGATATGCATCATCATCCGGCCCGACATTGACGAGGCACTTGCCCGACCAGCGATCGACGTGTTCAAGCGGTCGCTCAGCATCATCAGAGAATACGCGCCAGCACAGTCCTTTGCGCGGCTGACCCTCAAGCATCTCAACCGTCCCATCCGCGCCGCCTCACAGACGATCAAATCGCGCTGGCCGCAACATGCAGACGCGTGCGTCTTGACGCCAGAGACCATCACCGAGATGGGATCCACGACGGCGATGACGACCGAAGAAAGGGCCTCGAATGGTCTGTCCCATCTTCATCACCAGAACCAGAACCACCAGTTGTCGTCGTGGGGTATGCTGGGACAAATGATGGTGTTCCCTAAGCCCGCGACGGCGACTATTAGTATGGATCCCGGCCTGCCGCTGATGGCAGAGGAGTTTATGGTCGGGGACGAATATTTCACCACCACCAATCAAGATCCGTTTGGAGGCTGGCATGCAGGGCACATGGTGCTGTGACTTTCTTGGTTGGCTGACTTGTGAAAGAGCGTGCGTGGTACCACAAGGCGTTTGTTCATTTGACTCTGCTTGCTCGGATAATAAGCCTGAAGGAGAGTTCGTGCAAGTACGGCTGCGTGCTCCACTAGCCAGGCATTCCAGGGTCAGTGAAGGTCTCGCCTTACATGTTTAGAAGTACATTCTGCGCAAAGTCGTTGACAGTCCAACCCCTCATGAAAAGGTGTATGGATCAGGGTGAAACGGTAATTTTTCTTCTTCTTTGATATAGCTAACAATTGTCCCACTATCACGAAAAATCCTAATCCAAAAAACGAACGATGTTCCCATATTACAAAGAGTAGAGTGCTGACTATTTGCGGTTACCCCCAATGTTATGGTCTCGCAGATGCTGTGCCTGGCCTCGACGCGCTGGGAAACGAAATAGATCCCATGTCAAGCAACCTGCTGAACCTCGGAGGTGGAGAGCAAGACGCCCGTCTTCTCAGCCGCCTGAGGTCTATCCTGATTCTGGCCCTTTTCGTGTGCCAAAGGATCCTTGGGCATCTTGACGTGCCACCACTTTCCGGGCTCGTTCTCACCCCAGGCGAACTCGCCGTCGTCAAAGGTGTTTGTGCGGCGCATGTCCCGGCGGTACTTGTGGAGGTAGGCCGAGTCGTCGAGGGCCCTGTGCCACACGGCCGTGTTGTCCCACATGACCAGGTCGCCGGGCTGCTCCCACAGGACCTTGTAGACGAAGCGCGGCTGGGTGCCGTGGGCGATCAGCTCGTCGGCGATCCTCTTCGACTCTTCCACCGAGTACCCGTCCAGCTTGTACGCGTAGCTCGTGAGGTAGAGGTTCTTCCGCCCGCTTCCTGGGTGCGGGTACACCGCTTTCCACCGCGATATCGAGTACTCGAAGGGGTCGACGCCCTTGTAGAGGTCCGGGGCGGCCTCGCGTCGGTTGTACAGCAGTGAGCAGTCGCAGACGACGTCCTCGAGGCGGGCTTTCCACTCGGGCGACAGGGCCTCGTAGGCGGACCTCGAGTCGGCGAACTCGGTCTCCCCGCCACAGCCTTTCGGGGGGATCTCCACCGCCCGCAGGAGACTGTACTTGTCCCGCCGCGGGTGGTAGGTCATGTCCGTGTGCCATAGCTGGTTTCCCTTGTTCATCAGGGACGACACGCGGTCCGTCTCGCGGATGATGTTGCCCTGGCCGTCGAGGTTGGACACGTCGAAGATGTGAGGCTGGTCCGGGAACCGGCGGTCGCGGAGGTTGGGCATGGAATCCAGCTCGCCGAAGCGCCGCATGAAGTTGACCTGCGTGTCGTTGTCGATGTTGGCGGCGCGGAACACCAACACGCCGTACTTGTCGATGCCGGCCTGGATCTCGTCGATGACGGCGTCCGGGATCGGTTTCGTCCAGTCGACCCCGTGGACCTGCGCCACGAAGGTCGCGTGCAGTGGCTCAAACCGTAGCGTGCCGCCTCCGCCAGCTGAGCCCATGATGATCGATCTTGTCTGTGAGAGAGAGAGGGAGAGGTATACACACACGCAGTCAGCGTACAACTTGCGAGAGAGAAGACAAATCAAGGACGAATTCCGTGGAATCACCTGAACAGTTTATGTCTTTTTTTTTCAGAGCCATGGCCCATATGTACTGCAAGGTCTGGGGATCTCGATTCGTGGATTGCGTCCCCCTTCGGGTGGTATGAGTGAGGGAGTCTCTTGCGGGGACTGTTGATCGAGGTTCTAATCCCAATGGCGACTTCCGGCGGCACTTCTTCCTCCTTCGCTCGTACTCATGTAATGGTGATTGCCGTCTTGTCCCTGTCCCCGTATCCCTCGCATCCGTATCACTTGGTCGTGGACTAGTGAGTTTTGGGCGTCTCCTCCGCATTTTCCTTTGCTGCGTTGGATCTTCCGCATTCCTCTGTCGAAGTCTTGCAGCTCCATCTCAGCACGACGGGACTGTTATTTGCCGCTCTTGGGTGAAAGGTGTCGTCCCTCATCTTTCCACTGGTATGTTTTCTTTGACTTGCACTGCTGGTTGTTCGGAGGAGATGGGCGGAATGTCTCTTCTCTCCCCATCCCGAATTCCGCCAACATGCCGCCGTGCCGCCTTAGCGTCGAGCCAAATCATGGACCGGGGAACATGTGGATCCGATGGATTGAGATGGGCTGAGATGGGCTAGATGGGCATGTCAACCACGTCAACCCCCGTGTTTTGCTTTGAATGAGAGAGCAAGAGCCTTCTTACCCTGGCACATCGAAAGGGCTTGGTGGGCTTACCGAATCATCATCTATCAGCTGGGACAGCCTAGAACTGTCTGTCGCCCAACGCCCTCATCCCTGCAACACGAATACAATTAGACAAGATGACTGTCTTCGATCCAGATTCAGACAGCTTGCCCAAGCTCTCCGAGCTCGAGACGAAGCCCGGTGCTCCTCCCCAGTCGGCATGGTTCTGGGGCGAGAACGACGAGGTAGGGACATACAAAGAAGTCATCTTTGGCGGTTCGGCAGATTCTCACCTCTGCGCTGATATAGCTCGGGCGTCTCAACTTGCTCACTCCAAGACGGGTGGCGAGCGCGGCCAGGTTGATCCAGACAGGAGAAAGGGTCGGACTGAAGTAAGCGCTTTCAGAAGAACGACCCTACGGTTTGGTCAGATTGGGTCCTTATATACCAATCTATAGTTTTCCAGCAGAACTGCCCAACCCTCCCTTCTTCGGTCGGGAGCCTTTCAAGCACAAACTCAAACAGAGCGTCGAATATGGCTTCGATGACCTCCACGACATGAACACCCAGAGTGGCTCGCAGTGGGATGGATTTCGCCATGTACGTTTGAGACCTCGCATACCAGGGGTTCTCGGGATTTTTGTGACTATGGGTGCTTACACTTTTGACCAGGTCGGTATGGCGCACGAAGGGTCTTATGTGTGGTATAATGGGGTACGTACAGTTTACAGTGGTTATCTTTGTTCGAGTGGGAAATACTGAATCGCGATCAGATCACGGCCAACGACATTCACAAAACCAGCAAAATGGGATTGCAAGCATGGGCGAAACAGTGTATAGGTGGGTGGGAGACGTCTGACAGCTCTCTTCTCTCCCGCTCGCTCCCCGTTCGAAGTCCGCCACCGTGCTTGTGTGAAGATGTCTAACGTCCGGTTGAAATCTAGCTGGACGGGGAGTGCTCCTTGACTTTTACTCTTTCGCCGGCAAATCCTACGATCCCTTCACCACTAGAGACATCACCACACAGGAACTCCTGGACTGCGCGCGAGCCCAGAACCTGACGTTCAAGTATGGCGACATCCTGATCATTCGGAGCGGCTGGTCCGAAGCATATCGCAAGCTCGACGAGGCCGGACGACAGGCCATCGGCTCCAAGGGCTGGGACGACCTGCGCTTTGCCGGCCTCGACCGCAGTCCCGAGACCCTCGCGTTTCTGCACGACAACTACTTCGCCGCGGTCGCGGGGGACGCGCCTTCGTTCGAGTCGTGGCCCATGAACGGCAAGACGGACCTGCACTACTTCCTGCTCCCACGCTGGGGCGTGCCCATTGGGGAGCTGTGGGACTTGGACGGCCTGGCGGAGCTGTGCAAGAAACACAACCGGTACGAGTTTTTCTTCACCAGCAGCCCGTGTAATGTGCAAGGTATGTTGGACACGCATTCTGCCAGCAGATCTTCTGTGTAGTGGCTGACTTTTGTTCTGGGGTGAAGGGGGAGTCGGCTCTGCTCCCAATGCCATTGCGATATTCTGACCTGAGAGCTATGCAAGGCGCGGTCAAGCCCTCTTCGAATGATCTATACAGTGATACAAGAGAAGGGTTATCCTCACCAACTATATCGAGGCTTCTTCTACTCATCCATTACATGGTCAATTCATCATCTAGCTTACATGCATACATATGTGTAGATACTCTCGAGATTAGGAGAGGACACTTGATTTCCCAAACATGATAATCCTCTTTATTGTCCCCCATGATTTTTGAAAGCGACTGGAATCAGCCACATATGAGAAAGGGGCTAATGTAAATCGCATTCAAACGTCCTCCGTAACAATGCCCGTGGTCCAGTGACAGTTCCGCAGAGGCGCCAGCTGTCTTTTCCGCATAAAAGCCGACCAGGGGCGTTTCCACCGGAGGGGAAGAAGGTATTGGATGTACTGACTAATTACACGACAGACAGATAGTTCTTGCCTTGATATCCTGGTGTCCTAGCATGTGATACATGTGATCTAACTTGTTTGTTTGTAGCACGGACCAGTAGGCCTCGAGTGGTGTGGCACCTGTCTTTTTTCTCCAGAGAACCAACCTGAGGATCATTCGTGTCCTGGATACGTATCCCAAACAAAGCCACCAAGGTTGAGACTTACGTTGGGGGGAGTACAGACACCAGACACCAAGTTACCACCAGGCCACCAGCAACCATGCTCCCACTAAAAGGAAAGCTGGCCATCGTGACGGGCGGTTCTAGAGGTGAGTTCGTTCGTTACCCTGCAATCTTGCAATCTTGTGAGCGAGAAATATTCTTCCGGCTCGAAAAAATGAAAAATAGGAACCCACAGAACCCCTTCTTATGTAAATGACTTCCAGGCATCGGTGCCGCCATCGTCAGGAGCCTGGCAAAACGCGGCGCAAACATCTGCTTCAACTACACGTCCGAGTCGTCGGTTTCCAAGAGCGAGAAACTGATACAGCAAATGCGGAACGAATACAACATCGACATCATCGGCGTCAAGGCCGACCTGGCCGAGAGGGACGGGCCGGCAAAGGTCGTCGAGGCCGCTGGGCGGTATTTTGCAAACAACCCGACTTCTAACAGAGGTGGTGGTGGTGGTGATGGTGGTTCACTCCGCGTGGACATTGTCGTCAACAACGCCGGCGTGTGTCCCGCGCTGTTACTCCCGGACTGCACGGTCGACGAGTTCGAGTACACGTACAAGGTCAACGTGCTGGCTCCCCTGCTCCTCATGCAGGCCGCGCTGCCATACCTCCCGCACGACCGGTCCGGGCGGGTCATCAACATCTCGTCCATCTCGGCCAACGTCGGCACGCCGGGCCAGACCATCTACGGGGGCAGCAAGGCGGCGCTCGACGCCATGACGCGGACCTGGTCGCGCGAACTGGCCGAGCGCGCGACCGTCGTGTCCGTCCACGCGGGCGCCGTGCTTACGGACATGGTCCCCGCGCCGTTCGTGGCGGACGTCGTCGCCCACCATAATCGCATCACTCCTCTGGCACGAGCCCGCGAGGGTATCGACACCCCGGCGATGATGGCCGCGGCCAAGGGGATTGGTGGGCGTGTCGCGTATGACCACGACATCGCCGAGGCTGTGGCGCATTTCACGTTGCCCGAGGTGGGTTGGGTTACCGGCCACGTTATCGGTGTTGATGGGGGGTATGATTTTATTCGGTGATCTTGGGTGCGTGGGTTTAGAGGAGCTGGGAGGGCACATGGGAGGTTTTGAGAGAACAAAGTGGGATAAGATGGTGGTGGTTGGCGATATAGATGCCAGATCCTGATCAACGGGTCAACAGGTCAACAGGTCAACAAGTCAACAAGTCAAGTGGTCAAGACCGAGCTTCGTTAGGGAAATTTCAAGTATGTGAGTGATGTCGATCTGTTATTGTGCCTGTCAGAGGAGAAGTTTGTCAGTCAGATAAATCACCTTGCGGCTTGTTGTAATATTCCAGCTCATGTGGTCATGTTTCAGCAAGACCAAGAAGCGTGTACAATCCAGCACAAAGACATGAAGGACTACACCTGTATCTGGATTCTGAGTATCCATACGCGCCATATCTCGGCGCGATCCGGGTCATCGGTGATCTGCACACCTTCTGTCTTTTGGAGTGAGTGAGTGGACTGCAGTACTTGGTCCCAGCGTTGATGCGGAACCAGCAGGAGAATTTGGAGTGAGATTCCGCCAGGACAGCGTCACGGGTTGCCGCCTCAGGTTTAGTCTTTCCCCGCTGCAGATCCGCGGCAGTAACTTGTCAATCTGTCAATCTGTCACTCGTTTACTCATGAAATGATACTTTACCTCCTTATGATCAGGTGGAATGGCTATAAGTCAGGAGTCAAGAACAGAAACCAGTGTCTAGTCGAGGGATCTCAAGGACCTTGACCTCTCGCATCTCTATCAGCCAGCCAGCCGCCCAGCCCCTCCCCTAACTCCAACCCACCTTTTCTTAACATACAAGACAATGTCGAAGCACGAATTCACCGCCCTCGTCACCGGCGGCGCATCCGGCATCGGCGAAGCCACCGCACGCAAACTCGCCAGTCGCGGCATCTCAGTCCTCATCGGCGACATGAACCGCGCGCGGGGCGAGAAAGTCGCCGCCGAGATTCGAGAACTGTACGGCGTGCGCGCGGCTTTTTACCCCTTGGACGTGACCGACGAAGCCAACGTCAAGGCCTTTGTCGAGCACGCCACGCAGTGGACGGGCCGGCTGGACTTTGCGGCCAACTGTGCTGGCATCTGCGAGAATGTGTGGGACGGCGAGGAGAGCATCACGGCGGAGCTCTTTGATCAGTTTCGTTGCACCCCTCCCCCCCCCTTTTCCCTTTTTTTTCTCGATGTGGACTATGTGGACTAACCGCTTGACAGAACTCACGCCGTCAACGCCAAAGGCGTCTGGCTCTGTCAGAAATACGAGGCGGCGCAAATGCTCCGGCAAGAGCCCCGTCCCGTCGTCTTCTCCCCGCCACCACCGCCCTCCCATGTGATACCCGGCCAGCGCGGATCCATCGCCAACGTCGCCTCCGTGTCGGGACTCCACGCCAATGGCCTCGCCGCCTACACGCCCAGCAAGTACGCCGTCGTGGCCGTGACCAAGAACGGCGCCAAGTTCTACGGCCCCAGCGGCGTACGCTGCAACGCCGTCTGCCCTGGGTACGTGATGACGCCCATGACCGAGTACAGCATGGGTGAGGCGGCGAAGCCCGGGACAAAGGAGAACGAGGCCGCCGCGACGAGGCTCCAGGTCGCCATGGGCAGGATGGCGTTCCCCCAGGAGCAGGCGAATCTGCTGTCGTTCTTGTTGAGTGATGAGAGTAGCTATATGAATGGGTCGATAGTGGTCAATGATGGGGGTTTTCATGATATTCGGTAGGAAATAACGCCATGGTTGGTTAGACCCGAAGGAGACAGATGATGATCCATATGCATCGCATACTGAATACTGAACACTGAGGACACTTCTGCCAGTGCCATGATATACGTCTATTGTTATTTATTTATTTTTCTACAACACTACTAGTGCCACTCCTCCTGATCTACCTCCCTACTGTGTTAGAAATCACACCCCCGGCTCGGAGAGATACCAAGTCAAATCCGCCCCGTCCTCCTCCCTCTGCGTCTTCCCGTTCCCAAGATACGCGAACCGATTCCCTCCCACGTACTTGATCTCCCAGTCCTCCCAGCGCGGCTGCTCCGTCGCCTCGAGGAAGTGCACCGCGCTGCCGGGCCACGGGCCCCACACTTTGCCGTCGACCTTGCCGAGCTTATACCACGACCGGCAGCCGCTGGACCAGGCGAGGTCGCGCATCACGGCGTCTTTGTGCTCAAGGAATTCTTGCACCGCTTCGGCTTTCGGGGACAGGGATTTGATGCCTTGGCGTTGGAGCTTCAGGACCGCGTCGTACGCGTAGTTGATGGTGCGTTCGAGGCAGGGGATCAGGGTTCCTTGGGCGAGGGGGAAGTTGGGTCCGCTCGAAACTAGTGTGTTTCACGGTCAGGGAAAACGATCCTTGAAGACCGAAAGGACTTGCGCGAAGAGGGAGAGTGCGTGAGCCATGGAGAAAACACACACACACACACACACACACACACACACACACACACATAGGGAGGAT